GGGGGTGGTTGGTTTAGGACCAAGGTGTGAGTTGAGGGTCAGGTAGGTACCTGTGAGGTTAGTTTTAGGGTAAAAGGTCAGGGTTAGGATATAAAATTACCAAAAAATGAATGGAAGTCAATGGAAAGKACCCACAAGGACAGATAGACATAGTAGGTGTGTGTGAAACCTGATGTATAAATAAAACTGTCCAGTCTTGTAATATTTAGCGTTTATGTTAAAGTGATGTCATCAGCTGCAGATCAGTTCATCTATCTGTCATTTTCAGGAGTTCTTCAGGTTTTACCAAGAAAGAAACCAAAACAAGAGTTTGGATGATGAACAGAACACCGTCAATCTGATGAATTCAGGTAAGCACATATTCTAACTGTTAGTTTGAAGCTCAGGTTGTCACTCATGATTGTCTGGAACAAGAATCTGGTTTATAAAATAACTGAAKTTATGATCTTCAGGAAGTAAAGATGCAGAGGTCGATCAGAAGGAGCAGCACAACATCTCCATGATTACAATCTTTAAGAAGGTCAGAGACACAAACTAAAACATTATTAAAGTCAATCTCCTCAGGAGTTGGACATCATTATTGTTCATGTAAAATCATTCAGCTGCTGGTGTCTCCAGCTTTCACTGAGACAGGCTGAGGAAACCCTGACAGGGTCTGTTTTTATCAAACCTCATGGAGTGGAAATTTAGAATCAGCAGACAGATRTGTCTCAGAGGTGGGCAGCTTGGCTGGGGCTCCATCGACTCGGAGACCACACAAGTTAGGAAGTGTGTGAAGGTCCCTCCTGCAGGCAGATAGCAGCTCCTTCAGAGGACAGCTTGGCTTTCCAACAGCCTTATCAGACCCAGAAACCTCTCTTCTGCAGTAATTAAATGGACATGTTCTCTCAGATGGTTTGCTCATCCATCTCAGGTCCTGAAGCGTCCAGCTTCACAGAAATCCAGCTCTAACTGTTCAGCTGCGTGTCTTCTAGTCACAACATAGATAATCAGGTCTCTGTCAGAAAAACAACATCTCTAACAGACAGAGCGTTGTGTTGTTGTTTTATCATCTGATCAGGAGGGAAAACAACAGTCAGTCACATTAACACTGTGCGAAAATGATTGACAGCTCAGAAACCATCTTCAGATCACAGTATGATACACACCTGAAATAAAAACTGCTTGGCTTCATCTCAGCTCCAGACCTCGACAGAAATCTGGAATCAGCAGCTGGATGGATGGATGAATATAAGATGACACAATAAAATAATATAAAATAAAAACAACTTTGTGAACAGATTACACACAATGATAAGATTATTTGATGAATGAGATCAGATATGTGTTGGGATTTCATACATGTTTGTCAGACCACTGATACAATAAGACTTTGACAGCATCAGAGTCAGATTTGTGTGTGAACACCTGGTTTACCTGTAGAAATGAATCTGAAACTAAATGTTTACATGCAAAGATGCTGAAGATCAGTTAACATGTTGGATCAACAATGCTTGTTAACTTGATGTGTGTGTGTGTGTGTGTGTGTGTGTGTTGTCATGCATGCATGTGTGACCTTTGACCCTCAGGAATGGGTCTTGGCTTTATCAGTTTGTTTTACCTTCACTGTCACCATCGGCACGTTTCCTGCCATCACTGCTGACACCCGGTCCAAGTTCACAGACGGAGGCTCCTGGGGTCCGTGTCCCTTTACTCTGTACTCACACTCT